AGGTCGCGAGGCTGGTCGAATCCGGAAGCAACACGCGTCGGATGCAACGAAGGCCAGCGAGGCTCGGATGCGAAGGGCGCGTCGGAGGATGCGAAGGCGAGAGGTGGCTGCTTCGGATTCTTCCACGAAGGAGACACGCGCTTGATTCCGGTTGGATCTCGGCTTCGTCCTATCAGAGACTGGCACGCGTCGGTCTCGGATTCGGCCTCGATGACGTGTCCGGTTACTGTTCATGCGAAAATTTCCGAATTTTGAGCCCCGAACTTCCAAAATCCATAACTGTCGCATACGAGCCCCGTTTTTAACGTTCTTTATATGCACGCGTAGCTAAAGTCATGCTCTACAACTTTCGTTTAGACTTCATTGGTTAATTTTGATGTAATTTTAATATTATTATTTTTTAAAGACAGGGACAGGATAATCCGTTAAAAATTCATAACTTCTTCATCCAACGTCTGTTTTCGTCAGTCCTTTTACCGTTGTACTACTATTGACGAGACCTTCGATTCTCGTTTAGGTTGTGTCGGCTAAATTTCGCTCGATCTTAAATTCGAGTATTTAGCTGTCTACTTCTAAGCTAAAACATAGAAAAATCATAACTTCCTCATACGAAGTCAGATTTGGGCGTTCTTTTTATCGAACTTCTCGGTTTAATGAATACTACCACTTTAGTTTACATTGTTAAGGCTAAAAATCACTTTATCATAATATTCACTTTTTACGCTTCCCGGTGCCGTGTCGGTTTTGTCGCGAAACTTCGACAGGTCATAACTTCTTCGTTATAACTCGGATTTCGACGTTCTTTATATCTCCAGAATCCTTGTTTAGCCACTTCAACTTTCTTAAAAGATATCGGCTTTTTATAATATTTATTTTAAATGCTTATTTTTATTATTAATTAATTAAATCATAATAATTAAGCAAATAAGCATATAATTCATATAATATTCACATAATTCCTCTTTACTACTTCAAAATGAGTTACAAATGTTGACCTAGACTATTACAACTTTATTAATGCTTTTAGCCCAGAAACACGGGCGTTACAATTCTCTCCCCCTTATGATGATTCCGTCATCGGAATCACATATCAGCAAACAAATACGGATAGTGACTCATCTTGTCACTCTCCGTTTTTCCCAGGTGAGATTTGGCCCATTCGTATATTTCCATTGTACAAGCACTAAATCGACCATCTTGCGTCGCAACTTTTTAGTCTTACGGTCAACGATTGCCTCTGGTTCTTCGATTAACCTCTTGCTTTCATCCAGCCTTAACTCAGATATTGGAATTATGTCGGGAATATCTCCTGTGAACTTCCTTAAATAACACACATGGAAAGTGTTATGAATACCATCTAGTTCTTCTGGTAGTTCTAGCTTGTAAGCTTGATTCCCAATCCTCTGAAGAACTTTAAATCGTCCAATAAACCTTGGACTCAACTTTCCCCTTTTACCAAATCTTATAAGTCCCTTCCACGGCGAGACTTTAAGCAAAACAGAATCACCAACTTCGAATGTTATCGGTTTTCTTTTCTTGTCAGCATAGCTCTTTTGACGATCCTAAGCTGCTAACATCATTTCCCTAATCATTTTCAACTTTTCAGCAATTTGATGGACTATCTCAGGTCCCATAAACTGCTTTTCTCCAGCTTCAAGCCAACAAGACGACGTACGACACTTCTGTCCATATAAAGCGTGATAAGGTGCCATCTTTATGCTCGAGTGGAAACTATTGTTGTAGGAAAATTCTACTTAAGGTAAATGTTCATCCCAGTTACCTTGGAATTCCAAGGTACATGCTCTCAACATATCTTCAATTGTTTGTATTGTTCTTTCGCTCTGACCATCAGTTTGTGGATGGTAAGCTGTACTTAAACACAACTTGGTACCCATTTCCCCCTTGTAGACTTTTCCAAAATCGTGACGTGAAACGACTATCACGATCTGATACAATTGTTAGAGGAACACCGTGAAGTCTCACAATTTCCTTCACGTAAGCATTTGCAAGCTTATCCATAGACCATTTTTCATTGGCTGCTATGAAGTGTGCACTCTTGGTGAAACGATCCACGACCACCCAAATCATGTCGTGACCGCTCTTTGTTCTGGGTAGTTTAGTCACAAAATCCATGGTGATGTCTTCCCATTTACCCATGGGTAAAGGTAAAGGTTCTAAACTCCCATATGGTTTCTGATGTTGTGCCTTAACTCTTGCACATGTCACATATTCGGCCACATACTTAGCAACATCGAGCTTCATCGTTGGCCAGCAGTAATAGGGTTTTAAATCCCTATACATTTTCGTACGTCCGGGATGGATCGAGTACATGGTCTTGTGAGCTTCTTCCATCAGAACATCTCTTACTCCTCCCGTCTTAGGTACCCAAATCCTATCTTGGAATACCTTCAACCCTTGGTTGTTTGTACCGAATACTAATGTTTTGCCTAAACGTTCTTCTTTTCGGTCATTCTTCTCCAAAGCTTATTCCTGAGCTTTCTTTATACTCTCCACAATTGTTGAGACAACCTCAATTCTCAATGCTCTTGGCCTTTTCTTTTCAAGGTTGACTTTCCGACTGAGAGCATCAGCAACAACATTTGCTTTACCAGGGTGATAAAGTATCTCACAGTCGTAGTGTTTGAGTAATTCCAGCCAGCGTCGTTGCCTCATATTCAGTTCCTTCTGATTAAAGAGATACTGGAGACTCTTATGATTAGTGAAAAGTTTGCACTTTGTACCATAGAGGTAATGTCTGCATATTTTTAAAGCGAAAACTACCGCTGCCAACTCCAAATCATGAGTAGGGTAGTTCTTTTCATGCTCCTTCAGTTGTCTTGATGCATATGCTATTAGTTTATCTCGCTGGGTCAGAACACAACCTAACCCAACTCCGATGCATAACTATAGACTGCAAAGTCTTCAACTCATTCGGTAAAGAAAGAATTGGTGCTTCACATAATTTCTTCTTCAACTTCTCAAAGGCTTCCTTATGCTTTTCACTCCAAGTATAAGTAGCTCCTTTGTGGGTCAAGGTTGTCAATGGAGTCGCGATTGAAGAAAAGCCTTAGATAATTCAGCGATAATATCCAACTAATTCTAGAAAGCTTCAAATCTTCATAGGACCTTCAATCGTAACCTTCGAGTTACATAATAAATATTTATTGAGGACTCCTTCTTGTTCTTGGAATAGGTACTTTCCTTCATGTTCTAATGTGATACAATCACAGTTCAACATGTATTATTTCTAACTACCAACTTCTTTAACAATGAGTGTGATACTTCTATTGATCACTTTGATTATCTTTCATTTCAATCGTCTGGCTTAAGTCAAATGTTACATCGAACTTGGTTCTCTGAACCACATAATAAACTCATCGTGGTCAGACTCAATTTGATATGAACTCTAAGGTCGGAATAACAATCATCTTCTTAGTCATTATCGAAACGATGGTAACGACATACTATAACAAGACGGAATCAAATAATAACTTCTTGGTAACCTTGTGACTTTCCCTGATCCAAGTGCGAGTCCTGTGCTTCCAGTAGTATAGATCTCTACTACTATTCACACCTAGTCATACTCGTCCCAAGTACTGTCTCGCAGTCCCCAAGTCCTAAAATCACAAAACAATTTAACACATACGAATGTGTCCAATTAATCATAAATTTTCCTAGACTCTACTCGGACTTCTTTCACACGTATCTTCAATGATCAACTCTACTTCAACTTGGTTGGTGATGGAAATTCCAGATGATTGGGACAACTTCAAAATTTACACCAGCCATTCTATTCATCAGGTGACAAAACCAGGGTTTATTTTATTTCCTTAAAACGATTACACAAAAGTTCAAATTTACCCTATACTATGCTTCTCATAGGCTAAACTACTAGTTACTATTCGCATTACAAAGTTTTAGTGTCAATTTAGTTTTTTATTTAACAGGGAAAATAAGAATGAAACAAATAATCTCTTCAAACATAACATGTTAATTTTGTAATATATAAGTTTTTTAATTATATTAAGATATTCACATATCCGTTACAATTACTCTGAATAATTAGTTGTTTTGTTAGTATTAGATATAATATTATTTAGGGTTAATTTATGCAACGTTTCCCATTTTATACTAGGTTTTGAAATATGACCAACATACAAGGTTATCATCACAGCCAAGTGTGAAAAAAAATTCCACCCATGTTCTCCCTCAATTATTATCTTTGTCAACCTGATCGTGTTTGATGACGTGATTAATTATGATAGTATTTTGGTCCTTGTCTTCCTAGTTCGTGTCTGTTCTGGATTTTCTAAATCACAAAAACCAAGTTTCAGTGCCATGTTCTTCTCAACACAAACAATCAACAATCCATAAAGCCTTATTGCATACCACCATAAATAAGCTCTATTGACGTCCAAACCCTTATAGCCACAAGACCCCTTAAAAGAATCTATGTTTACAATTGCTTTCTCTAATGCTCACATGCATACCTATGAAGGTGTTTGTTGAAGCCTATACAAATAACAAATCACTCATCTCCTACCATCCATTATCAATTCACTCATCTTCTCTAATCCTACAAGTCGAGTGTCCTGTCATGATCAAGAGATGAAACAGAACAGCCCACATCTAAGATGCACGTTCAGATACCACCAATTTCATGATCTCCATAATTGGCATATCGAATGGTACTAAAAGTTGCTACACATATATACAACCTGGACTAAAAATTACTAAAACATTGTCTAATCACCTTACTGAGCTCTTAAAACCAGACTCAAAATGAGTGCACATGAACTAATTGTAATCATCTACACATAGAGTTCATGGGCAGCTATTTTCACTGTTTTATGAAATTTAGAAACCAAACAGGACGAAAAAAGAAAATAACAAACAAAAGAACCAAAAAAAACTAAAATTGTTTTTCATAGGGTAAAACCAAAATCCAAACCGTAGCCTACAACGTAAAACCAATTTAAAGTAAAAACATTAATAATAGTTTAGATATGGATAGAAGATGATGACACCAACGCTCTCATAGTCTCTTGAACCAGGTCAAGGCGTGCCATGTGTTGTTGAATCATGGAAGCATGCATATCCTTCCATTTTCTGAGCAACTTTGATCTTTTGGAAGGTGGAACTAAATTTAGTGCCTTCTCAACAGGAAAATGGACATAATCCTTGGTTAGTGCTGCAATAGATTTCTCCACTGCTGCTATCTTCTTATACTCTTGATGACGTTTTAGGGATTTAGCTTCATTCTTCCATATTTTGTAGGACAAACAATACAGCTCCCTTTCCTCCTCACTCATTGCATGATGATTCTTATTGTTGATATACCTCTTGAGAAACTTATTCCTCAACAGTCTTACTTTTTGATACACTTGTCCTTTTTCAACGTCCGGAACGCTGAGATTGAGGGACCCACCAGCTTTCATCCAAAATTTTGTATCAACACCCCTCTGGTTGGTTCCATGCAAGGCCATCAATATTTTCTTTTCATCATCGAACTTAAATATCCTATCAAAAGACTTTTTATTATTAACCTTACGACCTGTTTTCCTTCGTCCTTTCTGAGTTGAAACTTCCTGGGGTATCGATCGCTTCAAACAATGATCAAAGTAAGTAGTAATTAAGCTTATAAATTAATTATGGCGTACTTTTTTAATTAATGTAATCGATACTCAATACAGTTATCATATCATACTATATACAATCAGGATTTCTTCAGAGTGATTCTAGATTATTGATTAAAAAGTACAACAAATATTACGTACATATATATATATATATATATATATATATATATATATATATATATATATATATATATATATATATATATATATATATATATATATATATATATATATTGTCAATGATCAATGATAATAATATTTAGACCTTAATTTAATTGGACTAGTGTGGAATAGAGACGCACATAATTAAAGATCCTGACTAAAATTACTTAATCGGACTGAGATTTAATTACTCAGTTTTTTTGTAGTCATGAGTTTTGTTAATTTTATATATTAAAAAAAATCTTACCAGCCCACATTCGATAAAGTCTTGAGAGGTCCAGTCCCCTGATCCTTCATGGGTCCGAGTGTTCATGAGCTGGGAATGGTGTGAAACCTGAAACTCCCATTTTATTTTATACATCCATTAATATACATAAACTTAGAATATGTATAGAGAGCAACGGATGATGACACAGCAAACCCATACTATAATTGTGATTCAGAAAGCGGTAGACCATAACATGTTTGAATTAGCTAGCACCAAAAATGAATGAAATTACATTTTAAAATTATTTTTATTGATGGAAAAAAAAAAAAAAAAGGTCATTCACATTATCAAAAGCAAAATATGATATGCATGGACTAGTATGAGGATTAATTATGAAGGACCCAATTAAATTAAATATTGAAAATAAAACAAATATTTTTACCATTTCAACTGGGGTTTGCAGTGCGTCTTTAAAAAAGACGGCAGGAAGCTGGAAATGTGAATTTAAATGATCAGCTGATGATAAATCGTGCTTCTCACTTGTAGAAATTGGGTGTGAAGACTCATCTACGTGCACACTTTCCGACATTGAGTAACTTTCAGACATTTTTTTATACTGCCGGTGCCACTAAAAGAATTCTCCTCTCCTATATATATACTTATATTCTTAACTATAAAAGCGTGTCAAAGCTTTGTTTTCCCGCCTAAACTACCTATGTGCTTTTCCGAAAATGCCCTTAAGCCTCTTCTAATAATCCCTGTTGATCCGTTAATTAAGGTATCCTTTAAATAAGGTATTCCTATTATGCCCCCGGCTGTATAGCCTTCCAATTCATGAAGAATAAATTGATTTACCAAAAAAATAAACGATTTTATTCTTTAAATGTTCCATGATCATATCCCTGTAAATCAGGCAGTAGGTTAGTATTACTTTAATTTAATATCAAACATAACAAAAATAAAAATAAAATTACAATTGTAGAGCTTCGAATGCACAAAGTATAAACGGATTTACCAAAAAAAGGATTCTACTCTTTAAATGTCCCGCGATCATATCCCCTTTATCAAATTTAATTTGGTTTATATGATTTTTTTTTAAGGAATGGGTTCAAATTCAAAATAATGTTGACTTTGTCGCAACTTTCATTGGCAATGCATCTTCCATTTTTGGGATTGTGATGGAAAAGCCGGTAGCCTTTACAATTTTATTTTCATTACTTTTACTAGGTTTGGGAACCACAGTTAAAAACCAAAAATATTATTGATAATTCCTACTCTAAGGACAAATGAAAGATTTGCAAAGGAGACACATTATTTAGAATAAAATATAGCCCTTATCCATAGGTAATATCATAAATGGTTTCAAATGTACGATGAAAACTATAATGCATTTAAATCTAATATGGGTTATTAAAAATAGCATCATATTTCTGATAACATTGTCATATGATTATAACAAAGAGAAATTACAAAGATTCTCAGAGAAAAGCATAAAGACTACAAGAAATAAAGCAGATATAAATACTAGCTACACAGAAACCCTAATGGGCTAAAGACAAAAGGGCCCATTAACAAGCGGGCTAATAATATATAGACTAACATCCCCCTCAAACTCACAATGTCGCAGCAATAAGCATTGAGATTTTGTCACATAAGAACCGAAACCAAGAAGTTGATAAAGCCTTTATAAAAATATCCGCAAACTGCAAGGTTGATGAAACAAATGAAAGCGAAATGGTCCCAAGCTGCAGGTGATGATGAGTAAAATGACAATCAATCTCAATGTGCTTCGTCTGTTCATGAAAAACAGAATTCTTCACAATTTGTATCTCACTTTTATTATCACAATGCAAGGGAGTAGGTGAAGAAATATAAACTCCCATATCCGCAAGCAGCCATCGTAATCAGATAATCTCGCTTGTAGTTACAGCCATAACACGATATTCAGCCTCCGTGGAAGATCTAGAGACAATATCATGTTTCTTCCTCTTCCATGAAATAAGAGACTCTCCAAGAAATAAAAAAATCTAGTGGTAGACTTACGATCATGACGATCACCATCCCAATCAGCATCACTATAGGCACGTAACTCAAGAGAAGACGTCGAGGGAAACAAGAGAGTTTGTAACGATCCAATTTTTAAGGCCAAAAATTTCATTTTTAGTTTAATGCATTTAACAAACTTCTTACCAAAACATTGTTAATAAAACATCCATTACAAAATCATAATGTTGTATTTCAAACCATAACATCAAAAGTATTGAAAATCAGAGTACAGTCCCAAAAACTTCTTGCGGAACAGGTGGGTGTGTGTGTGTATGTGTGATGCGCTGCTACGTCGCCGGCTCTTTTCCCTTCGACGAAGAGGTACCTGAAACCAAAACCAAAATTGTAAGCACAAAGCTTAGTGAGTTCCCCCATCATACCACATACCATACAATATCGTCGGTATCTTTCAACCAGTAACATTCATCGGTATATTTCAATCGGTAACCTTCTTCGGTATCTTTCAACCAGTAACCAACATCGGTATCTTTCAACCGGTAACCATCATCGGTATCTTTCAATCAGTAATAAGCATTGGTATATTTCAACCGGTAACTGGGGACTATTTCACCCCTACTAACATTCAATCAACAGATATAAGCATACAGTCAGGTATATCCGAGTTGGCCTACCAACTCGTCGAATCCCTGCTTAACTAAACCCACACAAAACTCCAGCTCCACTCGTCGAGTCTAGCGAAACTTGACAGGTTCTCCTTCACTCATAACATCGGGACCATATTCATCCGACTCGCTGAGTTCCTTCTTGAAATCATCGAGTTCATCTCCAACTTAAGAACTTGTCCAGTCTATGACTCATCGAGTTGTATGAACAACCCGTCGAGTCCATCTTCAAAGATTGGGAGATTGCTATGGACTCGCCGAGTCTGCTCATACCACTCGAGGAGTCCCAAGGCTTCCAGGTCCCTTTTCGCATCTAAACCCACAAGGGACGTCCTTCCTATCATTTACCCATTCACTGGAAGCGTTTGGTGCACAATGGTCACCGACTCGTCGAGTGCCAAGAACAACTCGCCGAGTCCAATCCTGACAAACTCCATACAGTCGATTTAAATGAGGTTTAACACACCAAAACCATAAATCTGGCCTCCTAATGTCTATTTTATACGTAAAGTTCCAAACTTGATGCACATACATGCGGTTTTTAGCTCAAAAATCCATATAAAGTGTCTCACAATGTGCATGGGGCTCTCATGGCCCTAAAGTTGGCACCTTTATGCCATGAGACCCCACTTAAGGCCTAGATCTAAAGCTAAAGTCCACATAACACTCCTTGAATCTGAAAATGGATTGAAAAGCCCTAAATGCACCCAAGATCCACATTCTAAAGATGAACAACCAAATGAAAGACCAAAGCATGAACATTTTACCTTGATTAAGTTGAAAATTGAATGAGATTTCTAGATCCACAAGCCCTTAGTCGAATACTCACGCTCCTCTCCTTCCTTCCAAGCTTCACAAGTCAACAAAAGCACCAAAATGGCCTTAACACACACATATACGACTAGGGTTTCGATATGCAGCTCTAGGAGAGTATTAGTGACAAGAGAGGCTGAGTTAATGTGTTTATATAGGGTGCAAACCCTAATATTAGGGTTTTTGTCTAGACAGCACGGACTCACCCAGTCCGATTTCTGACTCGTCGAGTCAGCCACTTGACTCTCGGGTCCAATTTGCTTCTACTCGACGAGTTGGGCCACCAACTCGCCGAGTCCCAAGCCAGAATGCCAAAATGCTTAATTTAAAATACGTACCAGAAACCAGGTGTTACAAATCTCCCCCACTTATTTTAGACTTCGTCCTCGAAGTCTGCTGCTCGATCCTGAAACAACTTGGGGTAATTGGTTCAGAACAATCAAATTATTCGAACGGACCACAGTCGTTCATATGTTGGAAGTAGGTATGAATAAAGACTGTCATGAATTGGTTTGTAGATTGTCTAAAGTGTATTAGACATAGCAAAGGTTTGCTGCAACGTTCATGAGTGCTTATGAATATGATTTTGAGCATTCGATTAAACCCGCGCTCATTTGGATCACTTCATGGATTTTATCACGAGTGATTGGTGAGACGATAATATCTTATATTCTTGAAACCGAGATGTGTGAGTTGTATCTTGCGAGTCAGTTGCACATTGATAATATGTAAACGCACTAGTAACTTGGTGTCATAAAGCATATTGTTGTGTGTGATTCGGTGAGTGAGTGCAAGCAAGCATTAAATCAAAGTTTATCCGTTCGTTTTATCCAGAGTAGGATAAAAGCGATATCTGTGGGGCCCTCGGTGATTTAGTGCTGACACCCTAAGCGCTTGGCCAAGCAGAGACTAATTTGATGTGTTCAAATTGTAGTCTGTCGTTAGTCGTTGTAAATCGGAAATCAGGAAACAACACATATACAGAGATAATGATTTAAATCCATGTCTCAAGTCTATACGATATCAAGAATGGAGGAATATATGATCCCTTATCTAAAGGACATGCTTCTGATAAGATCAGAGTTGACAGTGGCTTTTGAAAGCTACGATTGCTAATTCGGATATGAGGTTATACACAGAATAGTTATAAGACTTATCCAAGTGGGAGATTGTTGGATTAGTTTCTAAGTCCATAACTATTTTGGTATGTACTTGACCTGATTGTGCAAAGTCCTTTTGGGTTACCTTCACACTGGTGACTAGACATGATGATTGTTGAGGAGAGAGGCTGGTTTATTGTTAAGAATAATAAATTAGGGTATGAATATGATTTATTAACATATTCTATGAATACTATATTAATTTGGAATCATATTATTAATTAGTGTTTAATCAAAAATTAATTTAGAATTAATTTTGGGATTAAAGGAACTGACTGAAAGTGTAGGGGCTATTTTGTAATTATTCAATAGTTGAGGCTTTGGGCCATTGGATCACATTTATTAAGGCTTGAACGAAATCCTAGAAGGATCTAGGAGTTTTCGTCCAAGGGATTAAGGAAAGGAGTCCATGGACTTGCTTAGGCCCTAAGCTAAGGGATTAGGGTTTACATATTGAAACCCTAGTTAGCCTTAAGTGTAAATAGCACCCTAAGGCACTAAGATTTCGTCTAAGACTTGGGAAACCCTAAAAGGGACGAAATCTAGGGCAAGATACCCTTCTCTCCTCTCTCCCATATTCATCCTTTCACCCAGTGTGTTTGTGAGCCATTAGAGGTACTACACTTGTGGTACTTGCTTTCAAGAGCTAAGGAAATTCAAGGAACTAGTTGTTATTACTATATAACAACAAAAGGTATGTATTCTATTTTTATATATGAGTTTCGAAAATAATAGTAGCATGCCAGGTTTCTTTTTGTGTTCATAAAGTTGTATAACTAATAGTGAAAACATAGATGCAACTCTAGGGTTGCATGCACACATAGGATTGTTTGTATGAAACCCATTAGAAACATGAAAGGTGTTATGAATATCACTGAGTTCGGCTGGCAGATCCAGTGTATATGCCACCTTGCCCACCCGGGCTACAACCCTGAAAGGTCTAATATACCTAGGGCCCAACTTGCCCCACTTCCTGAATCGAATGACACCCTT